GGCTCTCTATGCTCTGGCTCCATCCCTGCCTCATAAGAGTATTTGGAGGATGAAATTCCCTGAGCATTTAGCATATGCTCAGATGAGGCGAGTATTATTCCCGCAGAGGTGGGAAAATCTTGGTGGGCTTCACATGACAGGTAGCATTGAAACAGAGCCGGCCCTCGAGGGATAAGGAGGGTCTGGACCTGGTGCTGTGGGAAAGCAGAAACTCAGGCAGGAGCAGAGGAGGTCAGTGATCTCACCTCAGACAGCTCAGAGCAGCTGGGCCCACAGGTTGCAGAAGAGTAGATGATTTCAAACAGGAAATGAAGCTAAGCTGAGTTGGATTTTGTTCTGTGGACAACAGGGAGCCACAGAGGATGCTGAGCAGGAGAGATGCCTCTCAGCCTCCATCATCTCTCTGAACTTACATAACAGCTCCTGACTTGCCTCCCTGACCCTCCTCTTATCCCCACAAGATAAAAGGGATCTTTTAGAAAAACTGGTACCCAGTTATCTCATTCCCTGCCCCTGGTCAGATATCCTTCATTGGCTCCCACTGCTTCTGGGACAAACACCCACCTCCTTTGGGTGCTGGCAGAGCCCTACCTGGCCTAGCCCTTCCTCCCTCTGTAGCCTCCTTGTCCTCCCTCTTTCAGTTCCAACCACATGGGCCTTTAACTACTTCCCATTTCCTTCAGCCAACAGCTGTTTATAAACATCTACATAGTTGACACACATATGATTTGCATATGATTTTTTTTCCTGCTGGAACACTTTTCTTCCTTTTGAAAAATAATCTGCTTAATTTTGACTCATCCTTCACAAGAGCTCCAAGCTTCTTCCTCCAGAGAGGCTTCCCTGACTCCCCCTTTATAAGTTCTCATAGTACCACGTAGCTCTCCTTTGGAACTCTACCCACAATTATAATTTTGCCTTTCTTTGTGTGACTGTAAAAGAGGCCAGCAGGATGTAAGTCCCATGAGCCTAGGAACTGGGACGGGGAACTCACACCCTGCTGTGTGTCCTGGTGGTCTGGTACAGTGTCTGTGATGTGAAATGGCGGTGGGGAGAGGAGAATGGGGGACAGAGCTTGGGTCCAGGGGATCTTTAGGAGGCTGTTGCCATAGCTCCAGTGAAAGGGGTGCTTAGAACAAGGACAGGTAAAAGGAAGTTAGAGAGGAGAGTGGCGATGGAATTGACTTGGATGGGGGACAAATGAGCAAGGTGGATAGGCTCAGTGGTAGAGCACTTCCCTAGCATGCACCTGGCCCTGGGCTCCATCCTGTACACTAGAAAAATAAATAAGGATACAAATTAGCAAGCTGGAATGGCAGAGGAGTTGTGACCTGCAGGGTGGACTTGAGGCTGCTGCCAATAACTGGGAATTGGGTGAGTGAGAGAAGTCCTACAGGTAAGGAGCAGATGGAGGTAGTTGTCACACTGTCCTAAAAGTAACTTGGAAGTGCAGAGTTGGGGTGGGGGGAGTTGGTTAGAATTCTGGGAGGTGAAAGGACCTTGGTCTTGAATCAAGGGCACAGAGAGAGGAAAGGTCACATCTCTGAACCTCCGATTTTCCTTTAGGGAAGTGGAGCAGCACGGCTAATCTCTTAGCATGATTTTGAGGCTAAATGAGCTCATTAGCTGCCTGGCACAAAGTAAGAGGTTAATAAGTCACCATTATCATTCCCCTCCCCCTCCTCCTCCTCTTCAAGGTACTTAACCACACTTCCATGCTAAACTCAGGGTCCTCTAAGAGTCAAAAAATAAAATAACCAAGTGATTGGCCTGAAGCCCCAAAGTAGTCACACTTTGGTGGACTGCTTCCTATGCCTGTTGCCAGAGGGGGCTGGGGCAAGTCCACCAAGTCCAGGAAGAATAGAGGGAATCTAGTAAAGAATCGGAGGTCATTCAGTTATCCCTCTCCTCAGTTCATACCCAAAGACTTAAAATCAGTATGTTAGAGTGACTCGGCCACATGGATGCTTATAGCAGCTCAATTCATAATAGCTAAGCTAAGGAACTAACCTAGGTGCCCATCAACAGAAGAATGGATAAAGAAAATGTGGTGTATATACATAATGAAATATTAGCCCTAAAGAAAAATGAAATTGTGGCATTTGTTGGTGAATGTATGGCACTGGAGACTATCATGCTAAGTGAAATAAGCCAATAAAAACCAAAGGCCGAATGAATGTTCTCTTTGATACATGAATGCTAACACACAACAAGGAGCAGGGGAAAAGAATAGAAGTTCATGGGATTAGACCAAGGGGAATGAAGGGAAGGGAGGGGGATGGGAATAGGAAAGAGAGAAGAATGAATCGGACATAACTTTCCTATGTTCATATATGAATACACCACCCGTGAAACTCCACATCGTATATAACTGCAAGAATGAGATCCTAATTAGAATAAATTATATATACTCCATGCATATATAATATGTGAAAATATACTCTATGTCATATAAATCTAAAAAGAATGAACAAGTTTAATTGAATTTAGAGATAAAAAAAAGAATATGATGTCATGGGGCCAGTCCTGGCCAGCAGGTGACCCCTGACCATTCTAGGCAAGGGCACAGGGCCACCCTTGCAGATTCCTAGTCCTCACCTCCATCCACCTGATTTCACCAGATTAACTAGGTTCAAGAAAAACAGCTCACCAAGGAGGAGCAAGTCATAGAAAAGGGCCCTGGTACCACAATCTTAGCTTTCCAGGACAATCCTGAGACATCTCCCCTTTCTTGCATGGTCTGAAAGGTGGGCTTGAAGAAGGATGTGGTCTTTGCCAGGCACAATGGCTCATGCCTGTAATCCGAGAAGCTTAGGAGGCTGAAGCAGGAGGATCAAGAGTTCAAAGCTAGCCTCAGCCACTTAGTGAGGCCCCAGGCAACTCAGTGAGACCCTGTCTCTAAAAAAATACAAAAAAGAGCTAGTGATGTGGCTCAGTAGGTAAGTGCCCCCTGGGTTCAATCTCTGGTATCAAAAAAAAAAAAAAAGGATGTGGTCTTGAGTGGGCAATAACAAGAGGGAGGACAGTTCGTTTTTTCTTTTGTAGCAAGAAGGAGATTCACAGAGCAAAGGAGGCAGGCAGAACCACAGGGTCCTTGGGGTTCCAATGTGTCTGCAGGACTAAGCCCTGGGCTGGTCTAGGGGACTCTGACTTGTCTGCTCCTGCAAGTTGGCTTGGACCTACCCTCCCAGGCCCTGGGTCTCCAGTGTACCATCTGCCTCTATTACCTGCCCTGTCACCATCCTGAGCGAAAGTGCCCTAAATTTCTTGGTTCTGCTTCCACCTGTTCCCTGCCAGTGAGGGGCGGTCTTGATTAGGGTCCCCACAAGAGGCCCAAGTCACTTCTCCAAGGGGAGCCTTCTTCCTTTCCCTAAGGGGGCCTACTGGAGTGGGTGGCAGTGGGGGACGACGTGTGTCTGGAAGCCCATGTGGAGGCCACCGAGGGCTGCCCAGGTCTATGTGGTTGATGGACGCCCATCCTGAGTTCTCTGCTGTCCTCTCTCTGCAGTCTAGAAGTAGTGTGCAGCAGGGGGACCTGGATGGGGCCCGGAGGCTGGGCCGCCTGGCCCGGCTGCTCAGCATCACCTTCATCATCATGGGGATCATCATCATCATCGTGGCGGTCACCGTCAATTTTGCAGGTGAGGCCTAGATGCATGGAGCAGGGGCTGGAGCCCCTGGGGCAGGGGCAATGGGTGGGTGGGGGGAGAATACAAGCGGAGTGGGAAGCATAGTCTTAACCTTTCTTTCCAGAAAAGTGGACCAGTCCCCAGCAGTGACAACTGAGTGGGGATGGGCTTTCTGACTGTCTTCTGCCTGGACAGTGAATCAATAGAAAAGGGTGTGGAAAGGGGACAGGCCTTGAAGCCCGATGGTCTTGGGACCTGGGCCAGTGTCCTGTCTGGCTGAGCCTCAGTGTTTTTCCTGTATAAAGTGCCAGGAAGAAACCTCTGGAGTGGAAGCTTTTGTGAGCATCACTTGAGATAATGGATGTGACTCTGCTCTGTACTCTGGGCTGGAGGCACAAGCCTCCTGGGTCAGACAGCCTGGGCGGCTCAGAAGCAAACAATGCACGCACAGAGATCCAGGAAGCAGCCACACTTCTGACCACCCAGAGGTGACCCAGTGAAGTCATTCTAGCCGGGGAACCCTTTTCAAAGGAGACGCTCAGCTGCTCATAAAGCCCATGCAGCTTTGTGAGTTCAGAGCTGCCCCGTGCCCGCACACTGGGACCTGTCTCCCCGTTCAGTGATCAAGCAGATCTCTTCTCTACAGATCTTGCTTCTCAAAAGGTGTTCCATGGACCAGCAGCAGGGGCATCACCTGGGACCATGTCAGGAATGCCCTACCCCCACCCACCCACTGAATTTTTGTAAGATTCTCAGTCCAATCATCAAATGGGGGAGGCGCTGGTCAGGAGTGTGGAGAGCTCAACTTGGGGCAGAGAGTTTGAGATTCCATGGTGGGACCAAGGACAATGATGGGCTTTCCAGAGAGGGAAGTGTTCAGGTTTTTGGTCACCTTGCCTGGGTTCAGAATCCAGGGCCTCCACTTTCTCCCTGTGGAAATGGAAGCATGTTCCATAAGCCCTCTGAGGCTCAGTTTTTCGGCATGAGTGTAAAGGGAGATGGATGTGCAGGTGTATAAGAGGCAGGAGCATCAGCTTAGTGTCACCTTATGAGGCTTTATTCCTAGGCAGGATCTCTCCTTATGGTGGCAAGATGGAAACCAGCAGGTCTCATAGTGGCCCTAAGAGTGGCATACATTTTAGTCAGTCCAGTAAGGAGAGAAAAAAGTGCCTCTTTGGGGGGCTGGGGTTATAGCTCAGTGGTA